CTAGAAGAAAACAGAGTCTGTTTGAATGTGTGACTGTTGAAGCTAAATAATTTCTAACACTTCTTTTACCTCCATCAATGTATACTGTCACAGAGTTAAGCAGCAGCTGTTGCCATAACAGGCCTTATTACCTCCAAGTGCTGCTTCAAGGTACTGAACAAGAAGGTGTAAATACATCTGTCTTCTGCTATTTGTAGTTCTACTGGCCTCCTGTATGTCTGGCAGTGAGACAGATGGTCCTTGACACTGCACAGGATTTCAGGCACATGCATTTGCAAAAGTAAGAAGGCAGATGTTGAATATGGTAACAACACGTTTTGTCCCCTTAAGGTTTAAGTTGAGGCATCTATCTCAATTTGGATATTTAATTACTGGATCCTAGAAATCTTTGCTTTAGAAATATAGCACTTTATGGTTATTTTATGAGTATGTACAAAATACCTAGGACATAGACCAAATAAAAACTCATCTAACCTAAGTATATAATTTTACCAACTATATTGTCAGGCATATTGAAAACAGAATATAATTTACCTGCCTACAAGTGGGTCACTCTGTGTTTTCTTTCTACATAATCCATGCCAAATACTTATTGTTGATTTTATTTTCAAAATACTAGGAAAGGAGTTTTATAAAAGCAAACGTTGAGTAAATGAGAATTTCCAGAATGAAAAGAGATACACAGAAAATGAAAACTCTCATGTGCTCATCACCCTGTGACATTAATGGAGCCATCATATTTCTCAGCAAATACAATAAAACTTAATGCCAATAATTAATGCAAATTAGCTAACTCCAGTTTTGAGAATTTGTCATAGTAAAAAAAAAATTAATAAAATATAGCCTTTAGAATCGAATAGGATGAAAGCTAATGGGATGAAATATTCTTTGAGATTTGCTTCAAAACTCAGCGTATGGCAAAAATGAAAATTCATAGAATATATTTGGTTCCCACAAATCAAATATTACTTTTGACGAGGCAAAATACATGTATTTTAGTGAAAATGTTAAATTTTAAGATAATCAAGCCATGTATTATATTCTGAAAACTTTATGACTAAATGTTTAGATGACTTATAGTAAAAGAATGAAAAGTCAATAGGAGTTTCCGAGTATAATCAGAAAAGTCAATAGGAGTTTTGCAGAAAAGTCAATAGGAGTTCTGAGTATAATCAGCAAACACATCAGAGAATGGCTTATGGCAGCGGTCCCCACCCTTTTTGGCACCAGGAACCGGTTCATGGAAGTTTCACCTCAGATTATGAGGCATGAGATTCTCATAAGGAACATGCAACCTAGATCCCCCACATGTGTAGTTCACAACAATAGGGTTTGCACTCTTATGAGAATCAAATGCCGACACTGATCTGACAGGAGGCGGAGCTCAGGCGGTAAAGCTCACTCACCTGGTGTTCGCCTCCTGCTGTGAGGCTCAGTTCCTAACAGGCCAGGTAATGGTACCAGTCCAAAGCCCAGGGGTCAGGGACCTCTGGTTTAAGGATACTGAATCTTGTAATCCAGCAACAGTCAAGTAGAAGTTATGGCTGACCACTATCATCAAACTCTTACCAGTCACTGCACTCTATATTAATAGGAAGGAATTAAAAAATAGTAGATGGGGAGGGAAAAAAGGAATAGTAGGCTGAGTAATTTGTAGTACACTACAGCTATGCCACAAGTAGGAAATTCATTCTAGACAACAATTAAGTGGAATCGAAAAAACTAATGAAATACGTTCAAGATTTCTTCTTTTGATAACTGTACTACAGTTATATAAGACAATGTCCTTGCCTTTAGAAATTACACATTGAAGTATGTAGGGATAAGGGTATATTAAGTCTGCAACTTATTCTAAAACAATTAGGAAAAACATAACATGTATACGCAGGCAGAGGGAGAGAACATGAATGATGTGTTAGTGTATATGCAGGCAGAGGGAAAGAATGTGAATGATAAGGCAAATAAGTTGATCTATTAACATTTGGAGCCAGGTGCAGTGGCTTGTGCCTGTAATCCCAGCACTTTGGGAGGCCAAGGTGGGCAGATCACTTGAGGTCAAGAATTCGGGACCAGCCTAGCCAACATGACGAAACCCCGTCTCTACTAAAAGTACAAAATTTAGCTGGGCATGGTGGTGTACCTGTAATCCCAGCTACTAGGGATGCTGCAGCAGAAGAATTGCTTGAAACTGGGAGGTAGAGGTTGCTGTGAGCCGAGATCGCATCACTGTACTCCAGCCTGGGAGACAGAGCAAGCCTCCATCTCAAAAAAACAAAATGCAAAACAAAACAAAAAATTGGGGAATTTGGTATACAAGAATTCTTTTGACTAGTCTTACAACATTTCTGTAAGTTTGAAACTATGTCACAAAAAATGTAAACCTAGTACTCATTGTGGGAAGAGTATAAATTATTCTCTCTCCACACTTCAATATAAGGCATGCTAAAAAGAATTTGAAACCATGGCAGAAATAAAATGGTATGAATTGAGATACAAAGCCTAGTCAACAATATGATACAAGTATCTTAACTAACACTCATTTCGAAGCACATAAAATAACTCAAATAATACTTCATTTATTAATAATTATTAAACTGTTCATAATGCAACAGAATACATGCTCTAAAAATCTGAGAACAGAGAGCAAATTTTTGTAAGAAAGGAAACATAAGAATTATAAATTCATAATGTGTGGTAATACAGGAGGACACCAAATGACTAATAGTTTCTATTCATCTTAGTGCAAGGAAAAATTGGGTAGTAAGAGAGAGACAAAGAGAGCAAGAGATTTTATCTTCTTATGGAAAATTTCAAATACTACATAAAAATGTAGACTCACTTCCTACCCCTCCCCATAAACATTATGAATTAAATTCTAACATCATATCATTTTATGCACTGAACTTCAGTTACTATTTCAGAGATATATTTGGAGAAGCTCATTAGAAAAAGAGAGCTAAATCTTTGCATTCTAAAACAGGACAGCTCTTATGTTAAAATTAAATAAACATACACCAGAAACAAAGCACCAGAATATGCTTTTATGACTCCAGGAGCCTTTTGAATCTTCTTAAATTTCCCTCACTCTGAATATAAAATTAAATTACAAAGAAACAATTTTGAGGATGGTTTCACTTAGATTCAGGAAAGACAGGCTAAAATTTGTAAGTGCTTTGGAGAATTGTACAATGCTGGAGTGAATCAAGATGATACAATTATGTACTGACTAACTTCAGTAAGTAAAAAAGAAACTTTAAAGTTATGATTCCAGATTTAGTCCTATTTTTATTTGATTCTACATCCCAGGAATGTAATATACAATGAAAAAGTAACCTAATTGTGAATATAAAGAACATAACCACTTCACTATTCACAGCCATTATTCTTATTTTAAAATAAACTGAGGAAGAGAGAAGAAAAAGTTGAAATACAATTTAAAATTATACTTTTACTGGACACAAAGAGTTAAAAAGCTGAAAAAAATTAAAAAGATATACAGGCCAAATTATTGGTGCCTTAAGATGTCTGATTTGAGATGAAGTTTTGCTGAAAAATACAGCAAATGCCACAGACTCAATTTTACGTCTGCCTGCAGCAATAGGATCTCTCTCTCTTTCTCTCTCTTTTTTTTTTTTTTTTTTTTTTTTGAGACAGAGTTTCGCTCTGTCACCCAGGCTGGAGTGCAATGGCACAATCTCAGCTCACGCCAACCTCTGCCTCCCAGGTTCAAGTGATTCTCCTGCCTCAGCCTTGGGAGTAGCTGGGATTACAGGCATCCGCCACCACACCCAGCTAATTTTTGTATTTTTAGTAGACAGGAGATTTCACTGTGTTGGCCAGGTGGGTCTTGAACTCCTGACCTCATGATCCACCCACCTCAGCCTCCCAAAGTGTTGGGATTACAAGTGTGAGCCACCGCACCCAGCCTAGGATCTCTTTATACACAAACACCACTCCACCTAGCTATAGGGTCAATTTCTATGTTATGGTGATACCTGGAGATGAAAGGCCTTGTCCCTGAGACTACTGAGTATTTTTTCTCACAAAAGTGACCTCTACAAACACATTAATACTGACACAACAAAATTAAGATATATTAACATAGCAGCCAAATAATTTAATATATTTCTTTCATTGGAAAGAACTTGAGGACTATTTGAGGCCAAGACAGGGTTTTCTCCGTACTACTTTAATACAGAAATGTAAAAAAGTTGTTCCATTTCAAACTAGGTTAAACTTCAGGATTGCTCATTATGGAAAACAAGCAATTTGCCTATAGACATGTATATTTTCTGATATAAAATGGATTTTCAGTGTTAATATACAATTGACTATCTAATGATATCATAGAACTAGCAGTTTATTTTCAGGAACCTAATGAAGTTTTAATATTATATTCCTAAGGGGTAGCAAACTGCTAAAATAGCTAAAATAAGCACAAATAAATCAAGTGAGTCATCAAAAGTCTTTAAGGAAGTTAATGATCAAACTTAAATAAAGCCCACATTTTGGTGCACCAGCTTTGAAAATTACCAATAACATCACATTGTCCTGACACTAATGACAGAGTAGTATAGGTGATTTTTTCAAAGTATTAATAACATGGTTATCATCTAAGGTTCTCTCCATATTTGTATCTGTCAAAATTTGGGAGTCATTTCAAATCCTGAAACAGCCAGGAAAATGAAACTGTACTTTTCAGGCAAAGCCACAAGGCAGTGAGGATAAAACGAAGTAGATGGATCTGTTTTTGATTAGCCAATACTAGTTTTCACAGCTTGTCACTGCTTTGTTTTCTCGATGGATGTGTGTATATATGGTTGTGTACGAGTACGTTTGTACAAGTTCTATGCTTTGTACTTAATCTGATGCCATTAAGTCTCATTTGAGCTGGAAATGAAGAACATAGTAAAAACCACGCAAAGAAAATGTACGTGTTATTTTTATTCATTCAACCCTCTAAAACAGCTGTTAAGAAAGCACCAAGCCTGAGGCCTTACCCTGTCCGTTTGGTGATGGTCCCCAATGTCATTGGCTGCTTGATTTGTGCAAGAGGCATCACTACCATCAAGCTGGGGAGAGGAGAGAGCCGAGGGTTGCCGGGGTTGTTGTTGGTAAAATTGTTATAGGAGTCTTGGCTGTTCAGTTTCCCTACAAAGAGAAAAATAAAGAAAAGCATCACCAAGGGAAGTTCCCTATCTCTGATAGCGTTTTCACTGACTCCAGCAATCATTTAAGAAAGGCATCAAAGGTAGAATTGATGCCAAGAGAATTACAATTACATGGATAAGAAGTAACCAAACTATTCTTGTAGAGCTGGATGACTCATGCCTGTAATCCCAGCACTTTGGGAGACCAAGGCAGGAGGATAGGTTGAGGCCAGGAGTTCGAGACCAGCCTGGGCAACATAGCAAGACCTCCATCTCTACAAAAAAAAATAAAAATTAGCTGAGTATGGTGGTACATAGCTGTAATCCTAGCTACTCAAAAGACTGAGGCAAGAGGATTACTTGAGTCCAGGTATTCAAAGTTACAGTGAGCTATGATCGTACCCCTGCACTCCAAGCCCAGGTGGCATAGAGAGAGACTGTCTCTAAACAAACAAAAAAGTAGCATTCTGGTAACATCAGTATGACTTGATTATAAACACATTTCAGTCTTTGGGAATTAGGGCTGAGTTCCTTATCTTTCTAAAGACAGTTAAAGTGGTTTGTTGGCCTTCTTAGGTCCTTACATTCAACACAATCTGCTATTTCCCTCATACCTTGTCAATTTCTAGATAAAAGCCAGCTGAGCTTTTGATAGGGATTACATTTAATCTGGAGATCCATTTGGTGAATACTGCCATTTTAACAATATTATGTGTACTAACCCAAGAACTTAGGATGCCTTTCCTTTTACCTAGGTATTCTTAAATTTCTTCCAATGTTGTTTTGTAGTTTTCAGGGTATAAGTTTTGTACTTCTTTGGTTAACATATTACTATTTCATTCTTTTTCATGTAATTTGTAAATAAAATTGTTTTCTTAATTTCCTTTTTCAGATTATTCATTGCTAATGTATAGAAATACAGGTAACTTTTGTACATTGATCTTGTGTCCTACAACTTGGCTGAACTCATTTCGCAGTTCTAATAATTTCTTCTGGATTCCTGAGGATTTTCTACATACATAATTGCATCACCCTCAAAAAAGAGATAGCTTTACTTCTTCCTTTCCAGTTTAGATTCCTTTTTTTTTTTTTTGGCCTAACTGACCTACCTAGTTGAGTTTCATTGTGTTCATTCTTTTTTTAATATAGATGTGTAATTGTTCCATCACCATTTGCTAAAAAGATTAACCTTTCTCCTTTAATTGCCTTTCCACGTTTGTCAAAAACCAACTGACTATATATGTGTGGGTCTATTTCTGGATTGATCTATGTGTTCCATTTATCTATGTGTATACCCTTTCACCAATACCACATTTTCTCGATTACTATAGTTTTCTAGTGAAAAAAGAATTTTTTTTCTGTAATTATATATATTTTCTGTAAATTTGTTAATTAAATTTCTATTAATTGATGGATTTACAGAGAAACTTTATAAAAATTATCTGATTTTCTGTGTTACGGAATAAGTCAGTGCCTGTAATTCAACAATTCTTTCATGGAGAAAACTTCTTATTAATCTAATGTAATTTTATATCACTGGTCTTGACTGTTGATAAAAATTATCAACCCCATTTATGTGCTTGGCAATACATATGGTATTTTAAAAATGATAACTACAGAAAGCACACACATATACTTTTTTTTTACTGATTTGAATTAAGGTGACAAGTTTATGTACACAACAAAATAATCCTCCAAAAAAAATCCTAATTAATATCTTATTTCTAAAACACACCCTAAAAAACTATTGCTTTAAAAATAGCATGGATTCAGAATAGAGGGAGAACTATCACACAGTAGCTAATGGTAGCCTGAGAGGTAGTGAAAAGTCAAAAGTCCCTTTCTAACAAATCATAAGATGACAGTGGCTTCAGAATTAGACAATGGCTTAACCAAATGCTGTTTCTTCCTTGGACACAAATCTGTCTTTCTATATTACTCTACAGAATTATCAAGTTAAACTTTGATAAATGTGTCTTTTGTAAAATATGGAGAAAGATAAGAAATTCATGCAAATGAAATAAATCTTTCTCTATCTCTTCAATTTCTAATTCAGAATACACATTAAAGTTAACAGAAGCAATCTACACCTGTTGCTGGAATAGCAAAAGACAGCATTCACAATACATACAAGGTGATTTAGGCTACAACAGAGAACCCTGTAGAAAATATGAAGGGAGAAATCCCATTACAATATTATATATGTAGAAGAATATGAGAAAACCTGCTTTACAGTTAAGCCATTCAAAGTAATGTATCATCACACTCTCAAGGCCAATATAGATGTAAATGATTACAAGATTGCTATTAGACAATTATGCTAATATTAATTTGAATTTGAAATCAGACTGCAGCTTTATGTCACAAGCTGCTGAAAATTAAGAATGTGTACATCATATATATTTCACAACTAGTAAACAAATATTTGTTGAGTGCCTTAGCCCATGATAACACTGTAAGGGATTGTTTTCCTTGTTATCGTGAAGTTACAGTCTAACAGGTACTAACAGGAATCATTAAGTGTTAATTGTCTAGAACTAAAGATAAGTAGATGTGGGAACAGCTTTATTTGGAAAAGGGCTCAAGGAAAAGGGCAAATGGGATATGATCTAGATTTTGAAAACTGGACAAAAGATGGATAAGGGTAGGAGAGAAGGAACATTCTGGGTGTGAAGGATAACACGAGGGGAGAACAGCATAAAGGGATGCCATTGTGTGAGAAGTAGTGAGGAATCTCTAACTATTGCAGAGGAGAGATAATAGAAAGCAGTGGAAGATAAAATATTTCAGTTTTTGGAGGACCTCTCAATTGAGCCAGAGGAGTAGGAACTTAGGTTAAGTTCTTCAGCAAGAGAACAGTATAGATGTTGAAGTCATTGAATTTGACAGATAAAAGGAATGGTCTAGGAAAATGAAGTGATCCATTGAGAAGTTCCAAATCTGTGGTTTAGCTAGGCATGACTTAAAACGCTTCACTGAGGATAAAGGACATCCTCAGAATAGCATACAAAGAACTTCAGACATAGCCTTCTCAACCTGCTCCTGTGTTTATGCTGTAGAGTCCGTTTGAAACTAGCACATCTGACAGAGTAAAGTTAAGTTGTGTAGGTTTTACATTCATGTTTATGTTTGTAGGGGTAGTGTCTGTCTCACATATTAATGGATATGGCTAGCAACTTAAAAGCACAGCTTTAATGAAACAATAGGCATCTTAATAAAATGGTGAATAAAGCCAAGGTCCGGCTAACACCATTTTCAGCCTTAGCCCACCTGCACCCAGGTGAATAATAAATAAATAAATCAAATAGAAAAGAAAAAGCCAAGGTACAAGAAGACAAAATCAGAGAAAAAGGTACTAACTCTAATAGTCTTCAATAGGGTTGTTTCAGTAGTGAGGTGGAAAAGTCAGATAGTAAGGAATAAGCAAAGAAACTGCTGATAGGAAAAATCAAGGTCACAGATACAGATCCAAGATTTACAGACTGACACTGAAAAGAAGACATTAACAAAGATGACATATAGCATCAAGCAAAAGTTTCATTCAGCCTTTGCTCTTTCACTTCACATTTTTGGAGGCTTATTGGTATCAGGCCCTGTTCTAGATTCTGAAGGAGTAAGCCCAAGGGACTTCAAAGAGTTCATAATATAATGGTACAGAAAGACATATTAACAAAAAATGAAAAATGTGAGAAAAACATGCTAATAATTGCAGCTGAAAAATGACTCAGGAGCAAAAAGGAAGGAGTCACTTTTATTATCATTTTAAAGGACAACTTAAAAAGGGAGAAAAAGTATACAAATTTTGAGCATAAGGGAAGGAATCTGTATCTTCTTATATTGTTTTTCTTGTAGCAAATAAAAGAGGAGAGACATATAAATAATATGAGAAGTTAGTAAAATGAAAGCGCTAGCTTAGACAAGAAATCTCAATAGCTGACGCAGACATGTAAATAATACATATTAAAGAAATAAATGAAATAAATATACAAAGCAGCCTACCAATCCTTTCTTCACAAACCTATTGCTAAAATCTTTGGTTATAAATGATTTTACACTATTTATTCTGTCTTAGATTTTCTTTGAAAATACAGCTAGAATATAACCTCTAGATTTCTCCTCCACAATACTGGAGACTCCATCAAGCTGCCTGGACTCCTGAGGACAGTGACTTACTAGTCATTAATAGCTAATAACTCAATAAATGTTTGCTGAATGAATGAAAGAAATATATTTATTTCCATATCCAGGAGGCAGAGAAAAATACAGCTCTATGATCTATAGAAAAAATAATTCTGAAAGGGACTCAGTACTTCAGAAGGTTGCCAGATGACTGGAGTCTGCGGCTTTCAGTATTCTGCTCAGTCTCGTGTTCACTGGCCCAGGAGGTCAGGCATGATAACTTTAAAAATAGATCTTTAGACATTTCCATGTGGCTATATCAAGCCTACATTTTCAAGCCAGAATTCTTCATTAAAGAAGTTTAGCGGGAAGAAAACTGTAGTGTCTGCCTTGGACCTAGATGCAGTCTGTTGCTATTCTTTTTCTTTGCTCCACTTCTCAGAAATACATAAGATACAAATAATATTTCTAAGATTTATGAGGAGGTATCACCTTTATTAACCTTTCTTTACTATACTCTTCTATTTTTTCCTTTATTGTAAGAGTACAGTGAAAAAGAACAGAGATTATTTAATTGCAGTTTTGGTAGTGGACTGCACAAAGTCTTGAGATACATAAAATATTTCACACACCATTATACTTTCAAATTCCAGCTAAGACAAGACCTGTAAGTGACAAATGCCATGAGAATGAATATTCTCACAGTATTTCTGGCACAAGCAGACAGAGGAAGTCCCAAAAATCTCATGAGAAAATAAGCTCATCTAAGACTCTCATCCCAGTTTTTTGGGCTTACTCTATATAGATAAACTTGCATAAGCCTCAGGCTTTTGGGTCTTTATCCAAATCCACTAGAGCTTTGATCCTTTAGAGGTTTACCAG